TATTTATGTGTTCATATATATAAACTTATGTATACATATATATATATATATATATATATAATTTGTACTTGTATTTGGTATTTATGTTTCTGTTCGTGGTTGTGTAAGTGCCAGCGTCTTTACAAGTATGTATTATGTGGGAATGTGCTGGAATAGGTTTTTTCTATAGTAATAGATCTGTACTATGGGACGCTGTTCACTTACCTACTTATCATTCATCACGCCACGTAGCTCAAACGGCCGCGGCGAGTTCAAATAAACCAATGCTGATTCTTATCCATAAGACATGGTGTGGTGCATGCAAGAACCTCAAAAAGACCGTTTCAACGTCCGAGCAAATGGTCACGCTCGCGAAGGAGTACATTATGGTAAACTTGGAAGACGATGAGGAGCCCAAGGACAAGCAATTTCAACCCGATGGTGGCTATGTTCCACGATTGTTCTTCGCTGACAGTGCCGGTACGTTGCTTCCAACAACATGTGTGTGTTCTCGTCTGTGTGTGTCATGCTCGCTTGTTTGTATGCGTTTTTGTGTTTTCCTTGTGTGCCCTGGTGCTTCTTTTACTAAAATTTCTGGCCACGTTTTCTATTCGGTCGTGGCTTTAGATATACGTGGTGTTATTAATTGATGCTTGTTTGAGTTGTCTATCACACTAGCATGCATTTCTATGCCCGTACTCCGTGTTGCGTGCCAGATAAAAGTTTGTAGAAATGGCTTGCGTTTGAGAGCTTCCTGTAGACGCACAAGACGGCTGATAATGGTGATGTAATGATTGTATTTTAGTTTAGCATGAGCGCATATATATGCGGCTTTACTTTCATAAATCTTATAACTCAAGAACACAGTGGCACAGTTGCTGTAAGGCTTACTGTCACAAAATGCTCCAGAGCCAAACCTGTCAAATTACTCAGATTAGATTGTCTGTGAAGAAGTGGTAGGTGTGTATACAACCACAATATAGTCACATCGTGAGCCCCGTCCTTTGATACCTATATATATACGTATATATATATATATATATATATATATATATGTGTGTGGTATTATTATTACTATTATATA